GAAGACCTCTTTGTTACTTGCATCGTACACAGTCAACTTGAGAAATGGGAAGTCCATGTACTTTTGATGAAGATCGCTGGGTCTACCATTGAGCGTCTTAGCAATCGTGGAGGCAGTTTTAGTTCATATCGCTCAGGGTAGGAAGACATCAAAAAGTAGCTATGAGACTCTTGAAGTATGGACATTGCACTTGTTCTGTAAGGACGCAGTCATGTTTTATTAACTTAGTTTATGTCATCTTGAACAATGAACAATGATTGAACAACGATTTATCACGGGATAAAAGCAAGTGCTTGACACGTCGCGTAGGATGGTTGAGGTGAATATGATGAAATCAAAATATGTCTGGGTCATCTATCGAACGTCTGCCGAGATGAATAGTTTGATAAGTAACATCAGTGTAAAATTAAAATAAATTATCGAGCGTAAACGTTCAGAAAGACACTGGGGTGCAGTGATCATTGCTATATCCTCAGAGAGGTGAGCATGCTATTCATACGTTGAGCAAATGGTTTCTCGTAGACAGCATCTAAGCACCGTTGTAATTCCCCAACTTACCCTAGATGTTGTGCAACATGTTTGTTTTGGAAGGCTAAGAGGCACGAAAATAGAAGCCGGAGGTCGCTTACGGACTAGGTAGTTGGCCGGCTTGAGTCAGCGCAATTTGATTTCATCCTATCGGTACACTTTGTCATCCACAGTCATAAGCAAAAGCTGCCGCTTAGAACACCAATCTTCATTCGAACAATGAACAATGATTTATCAAGGGTAGAAAGGCAGGTTCTTGACAAGCCACATAGGATGGTCGGAGTGATAATTAAACGAATCAAAGGATAAGTGAATCGTCAGTTTCAGTGTCCACCTATTTAACTGCACCGTTGCGGAACGATAGTTTGAAATAAGAAATGAAGGTGCGCACACAAGTAATATGGGGAGCGCACGTACTCCGTGAGGATAAAAAAGTGAATGACAACGCGCACTCGTGTGCTACTTCACTGGACCGTAGTGACACTTAAATGCAATATGGGTACATTCATGCCATTCACTTGAACACTGGTGAAGGTTTCCTAGCCTTCGCGTTGCAGAGAGGGTTGTTGAGCGCATAGCTTGGTTCGAGTTATTTCGTCCTCGAAGTGAAATGGACTATAGCAAGTAATGCAAGTGAGAAAGTATGTCATCCAGACGTTTTTTGAAAAACCTAGGGCCAAAGATGATGTGCGTCGGAAGGGCGTTCCAGACACGGGATACCCAAATGGAGAAAACATTTTGTCAGTAACCAACACGACTTTACTGCGTACTAACTTTGAGCTACTTGCCTCTCGGTTTGATGTCTTGGCTCAGTTGCAACATGTCGCCACAGGCGTAATTCTAATTCGTCCGTATTAAGTAAGCCATGATGAAGTCTCTTCCCTTAGGCCTTTCTTCACCGTTGTACCAAGCAAGAGCTTGCAGTCTTTGTTGGTTTTGGGACGTGGAACGAACCTAGTGGCTCTGCATCATGGATCTTCAAGCACGACAATATCCTTTTTGCACCAGGAACGCCAGACTTGGACTGCATAATCCACGTGGGCCGATCAGCCTTTGCGGAAAGGTAGTTGGCTCGAACTTTCCGAACACTCTCGGTAAGGGTGCAAGGTACTGATTCGCTCTTTTCGTTGACTTTTCTGCCCGTTTTGAGCAACCAAAGCTATCCTACACGATCACGCCGTCACTTTCCTGAGAAGTGTTTTGGAACTGCGGGCCCCCAAGTCGAAATCCATAGGTATGCTGATGGTGTATGCTCACAACTTTGCACTTCGCCACGTTGATCTGGAGCCGAATTTCGGATGACCAGGTATAAGATTTATCGGGCTTGCGCTGTAGTGCTGTGTGATCGTCCGCGGCCTTCATGTCATGCCAGCTGTTGGCATCCTATGCCAATATTAAGAAGTCCGGCTGTAGCACATTGGAAGGATTGTTGATGATTCCTAGGTACCAAGGTAGACCCAGTATCGATCTTTGAAGGACGTCACATTGGACTTTAATTGGGTCCGAAATGGAGCTGCGTACTCTCACATTCAGCTGACGTAGAAGGAGGAAGTAGATTATCCAAATGAGCACAGCGTCACTGATTTCATAGCTTTGAAGCCTGTGTGGGATAATGCGGTGATTCAAGTAGTTGAACGTCTTAGAGAATTCCAGGTAGATCGTATCGATCCCAACTTTGGCTTTTACTGATTCTGTCCAGCTGGTTGGGACTAACGGCAACTTTGTAGTGCAGCCCCGATTTTAACAGAGTCCGTGCTGCTGTAACAATAGGATGTATTTGCCCTCAAGGTATCCCATGAGCACCTCCGCTATAATACCTTCCATTAATTTTGACAACACTGGGAGGGGAGTGATTGGACGGTAGTTCGAAGGTTCCACACAATTCCCACTCTTGCAAATAATAGTGACTATTCCATGTTTACACATTGTGGGAACCTGCAGTTCAGTAGGACATCGTCATAAAAACCGAGCTAATGGTTCGGCAATGTTCATGATGGCTGTCTTCAATGTCTTTTGTCTGATAGCATCCACTCCAGGACAGCTGTGCACGCGCAGGGACAATAGTCTTTTCATCACATTTGTTACTGTAGCGGATAGGTGGTTTAACCATGGGGCGGTGGGGGCTGTGCTCAAAGAGAGTGAGATGAGGATTCACTCTGTAAACTGCATTTGAATTGGTGACGAAGCGCATTGGCCGCCGCTAGCGCAGTTTGTGCCGTACCATCTATTGGATCTAGACCTGGGATCCTGCACTGAACCATCCGGAGCTTGAGGTTTCTGTACAGTAATTTAGGATTTCTAATAGAGGTTATTCACAGCCACCTTCTAAAGCATATAGTCCTCCAAATGTCCGGAAAACCACTAGACTAAAGTTTCAGCCTGTTGGGAATCATCAGTGTTGCGCACCCATCGGATCCATCAGATTTCTATCCCATGAACAACAGCGGCTTGAACCGCCAGTCAGCGGTTTATGCCACTGGGCCACTGGGGACAGATTCTGACCGCCTTGATTTACAAGATGATTGTGATATAGCGCGTCTTATCTTCCACTGCCATTCATGTTACGAAGAACCACAATTAATTATATTGAAGTTCCCTGCTCATGAGTAGATCAAAATACATCCGCTGTAACAATTCCTAAATGCTGTCGTACATATCTACTACTAGTGGACGTCGTGTCTTCCGAGGCCAACCCTGTCCTCTGCAACCTTCGTAACTTGCATATCAGTGGAGTATAAGACGCGCTAGACCACAGCCAGCTTGTAAATCATGACTGTCCGAATCTGTCCTCCGTGGCCCAGGGGCATAAACTTCTGACTGGCGGTTCAAGCCGCTGGTGGGCATGGGATCGAATCCTGATGGATCCGATGGATGCGTACTACTGACGATGCCTAAAAGGCTGAACCTGCAGTCTAGTGCTTTTCCGGGCATGTGGACAACTATCTGCTTTGGAAGCTGGCTGCGGAGAACTTCAATTAGTTATATCGAAAATCCCCTACTCATGATTGCAACAAGATTTAGGATTTGTAATGAATTTAATCGTTAAGTCTTGTTGGTGTCCGAGTTTGTCTTCAGGAATCAACTTGACACAGTGGTTTCGTTGAGTTGTGTAACCTCCCAGGCCTGCATACCCGGACGGGCTCTGTAAGCGCGCCAGGCGGAATCCTTTGAGGCCATGCATTTTCGAGTCCGGCTCCTCAGAAAAGTCTTTGCTGGCTTCGGGCGAAATGCTTTGTCTTCTGACGCCTTTGCCACTAGCCTAGTGAATTGGGTGTCGCCATCCAGACAACATCGGGAGGCTGCTCTGTTAAGTAGAATCGGTTGGTTTCTTGAACGAGATCAGACAGTATATCAGAATGGGTGACGACTTAGGTTTCATCGTTGTTCTCGCTGATGTATTCCCCGCGTGATGGTTACGTAAAAGTGGTGCACATATAATCACCTTAGCGACCGTTAATTCTACATGGATGAACATAAGGTCCAAAACGGTTGGTGTGTCGCCTGTTCTGATTCTCAAGGGTGAGGTGACGTGGTTGTGCGGACGTACACCATCGATTACTTCTAGCAATTTAGCCTTAAATTGTTCGCTGATCGTTGCAGGGGCTTTGATTGCTTGACCATTGTAGTCCTTTACCAGATAAACGTGACTGTATGGTGGTGCCAGGACTCGTTTCATTGCAGAAGCTAGGAAGTGATCTATTACCTAGGTGGGTATTGGAGGACGGTAAACTATTGCTAGTAAACACACATCACCAAGTCTTAGATACATACGACACCAAAGCGAATTGAGGAATTTCGTTTCTGGATCCTCAATGATATCAACATACAACTCGGATCGACAATACAGGAGCACTCCGTCTCCTCCGCTAGGTCGATCATTTCGCATGGAAGTCACGCCGGGTACAGCAATCGCAGCATCGGTGAACTCCATGTTCAACAACGTTTCGGTGATCATGACTACGTCCCAAAGCGTGGAGACCTGACGAACACGAAGATCGGTTAGTTTGTTGAGAAGACGTGCGTTAACATACCAGGGGGTGAAGTCTTCTGAGGTTAGAAGCGCGTTTGTAGATGCGATCTCGGTTGACGGTCTATGTCGCCTCTTTAGGGGTCGCCTGCCGGTCTCTAGTTTGCAGGATCGCCGGCGTAGGGAAGGATCCAGCGATTTTGACGTCATCGGTAATAAAACAGGATAAGTTAAATTGCAATGGACATGCGGTATCATTGGGGGAGATTAAAATCACTGATATGAATGAACCCTCTAGTAACATGCTTGGGCAACAGGTCGCATTGTTAAGCTTATAGTTCTCACGCCTTCTTGTCCAAACCAATGACACTTCATTGCATTTCCTGATAAAATTATAATAGGACACATTTGTATGCTATATATATATATATGCATAGACGTATCACAGTGAAGTACCACTACGTTTGCTTGAAGCTAAACGCATTATCATTCTGCTTTTTAATAGCTTACCAATTCATGTCGACCTACGGTAAGTGATACTCGTTTTTTAGTTATTTTGAAAGTCGTTTCTAGAACCTGATTCAATTATGCTAAATCACTATGGAGAAAACTAGTTAGCGCGACCATGATAAAGCAGGCGTTGTGTACACAAATCGCATTGGGTGTCACGGGTGACTATTGCTTAGCCCCTGATCTGCAGTCCTACACTACAGCTGTATCATTTAAACTCTTCTTGAACGTCGTGTATCGAAAAACATCATATTGGTCTTGCAACCGACAGTCTCCACTTAGGTAGCTTCTCTAAATATACGGTTAGCACATACAAGCAGTTCTATGAATTTCACCCTACAGCTGCAAACATCCGTGAACAAAAGAGTTTTCAGGTGTACAAGTTTGTTAAAGATTACCAGTAAAACGCTCATTGTTTATCATACACAGCGACAGCCGCTCTGCCTTGTATTTCTACTAAGAATTTGTAGACAACTCGGGGCTGAATAAATGTATAGAAGTGTCACACACACACACACACATAATATTCCAAAAGTGACCCGTAACAATGTGGCCAGAGGTGTGATGGATTTGGGACTTCACAGGAGACACAGTCATTGGTAGTAGAATATCGACCTCTGTCATCTAAAAGAGTAGGAGCCGTAACCAGTTATTCGCGGTCCGCAAAAGCACAATTTTGGATAGTGAACCGCTAAACATTTTACGCAATTCATACTGTTCTTGTAAGGTGTCAGAGTGTAACTGTTTACAAAGCAGTTTTTATGCTTATAGCAATGAGTTCTTGTATAACTCCACGATAAACCCGTTAAACACTATCAAAAGCCAGACTACTTCTTTATTTTCTATTTTGTTTAGCCCAAAGTACGTTTACCTCCCTTTTCTTACCTTTTAGTCAACTGAAAGTATCAACTTTTACACTTGTGAATGTCTTAACGCATTGATTAGTCATTTCAATCCGGATAATATTTCTCCTAAATAAATTTATAAAATTTAAGAGCAACAACAACGACAATCCCCAAACGCATACAAATTGTACGAAAAAGTAGTGACTATGCGTTTCAAGAAATTCGGTACTTCGGCACCGAGCTGTTCTGTCTTTTCGGCGCGTGCGTTCACAATCTGAGTTGCAGGTATTACGAAACATGTAGCAAAACCGAAGATGGAAGCAGGCACACTTTGACACCTCAAAACTTGAGATGGAATAGCAAGAAGCTAAATTCACTGGCAGTTCAAAGGCAGGGGATCTATTCTCAAAAGTATACGGTAACTAACGACTGTCAGTGTAGTAAAAAAAATAAGTTTGTACTGTTCTGTTAAACAAAACTAATGCTACTAGAAACAGTTCTGGATTATTTGTCCAAATGTTCGAAAGTTGTAGGTTGGTTCATAGTTGATAATCAAAACATACGTGGACCGATCAAGCTGGTAGAACTATTTAAATGGTCTGTGAAGTTAAAGAACGCTGATACACCTACATGTAACTTCCAGATTAGGCGTCAGCTAATCCTTTAAGACAAGATACTTACACTAATCTGCCTTGCAACAAGGACGTTCACAACATAAAAAGAATGCAGAGCTCGACAACGGAAAATACTCTGTGTGAAATTTCCACCATCGGTGTTGGCAACAACACTGTTATTAGGGTGGGTGTTCTGCCTTGTGTTTGGAATAACTGGACTCCTATCAATACTGATATGCTTATCTCACTCTGACACAATCGTCCTAGCAACGACTCACCGCTTACTTTCACAATACAGGCAGTAAAATCAACACTTTCCCAGTTAACTGCAATCTGAAGCAGATTAAGTAACATGTTTTCTAACCTAACTGAGGATACGTGCACGGATATATGCAGGCAGAGAAAAATACTACGTGCCACGAATGTCAAGACTGAAGGCTGCTGAACGGAAACCCAGCTGAAGTTCCAAAAAGTTGTTTATTATGTATCATGACGAGAAAAATATATAGAAGAATTCATCGATTCAGTAAAGGAAGTAAATGTATAAATGGTAAAAGTAAATATATCAAAACACAAACTAACGCAGATACGTCGAATAGATACGACGGATGCAACCATTTGACAAAGCCAAAAAGAATGGTTAAAGCGAAAATAATATAGTACGCAAATTCATATACATAAACATAAAATATGAAAAAGATGACAAGTGAGCAATTTGTCTTTCAGGTCCTCAACCTCTGGCTGGTGGATTTGGTAAGACTTACGACGTTTTTGTATTTGCAATCGAGTTACTGCGAAACCAACAAGTTATATTTCCCATGAAAATGAGGCGCACCCAAGGTTTGGAAATTAAGTCTTGCTTCTAGAACAGAGTTAAGTAACCAGTGATCTCTTTGAAGTGTTACTGGGATGGCGAATGTTACTGGTAGGGGAAGCTCGATGAGTAAACCTCGTGCACTGAGTCCAGATAGAGTCCGAGTACAAACTAGTGAGTCACTGATTGCAAATTTGCAGAATATTCACACTAATACGAATTTCGAAACGCAGAACGAGGTCAACTGCGAGTCAGGTCGAATCGTTGTGTCAGTAAAATGGCGGTGATGGGAAAGAGCCCCAGGTGAAACAACCGATTTCCACTTAACTAATGAGAACCACGACTTTTGTAAAAGAAGGATAACGTTGCCACACAGATAGTTACTTAGTGTTTGAATGGTGTTAATGCAAGCGCAAATAGATTTCGTAGTATTACAGAAAGTCATGCTGAGGATTACAAATGTAATATCCCACGACATGGTCGCTGAAATGTTCCCGATCTTGTTAGATTTCAGGACTGCGCTTGACAGTTGCCTTGTGCCTCTTTGACACGACTTAATGGCAACCTACAGAAGCATCGCCTTGCTGGTCACCAGCAACAGGCAAACACCGTGGTCGCCAGGCTCCTGAGGTTACGACCATTTACCGCAAAGTCCAGTACGAAGTCAGTGACATGGTTGAATCTCTTTTTCAGACCACCCATTGCGTTAGGTATAGAGCACTTCATTTCACCAAGTTACATCGTTTTATCATACTAATGCGGACAGTGAATAGAACAGGGAAGTGTGCATGGATTCACGCTCCTCAATGACAAATGTGCGAATGGATTGAATGCATAAAAGCGAAGACGCAATACTAACAGCAGCGGATCACTTGAAAGAGCATGTTGTAGATATGGGCTGACTCCCAATTTGTCAAGAAGCTGGGGTGGCAAATGTTCACATTGGTACGTAAAACATTAGCCTAATCTCTAACGACAACCGTGGAGCCACGATACATCGTACCTGCATTTTAGGCTTTTTAAGAATTGTGGCTCGCAAATATGTATTTCCAGTTTGTTTCTGGTGTACTATTGCTCATGATATCGTTTTGAATCCATTCAAATGCTCCCATTCTCCTAACTCATCCAGATGGAAATCAATCCATATCTTGAAAAGTGTAGACTCGGAAACTGTCAAATGAACCGGCTGGATGTCATTAGATGGTGATCTAGTCGCAGCTAGGTTCACGTTGGAAAACTGGGCGTCAAGTACCACTGACTGCATGGTGTTAAAATTTCAAACCAGCAATGAGTCTTGAGGAGGAGAATGGACGCAAAGTGCTTAATGGGCTTCTACTTGTTGGCTGGCTTACAATGAAGCTGTTTGAAAACTATCATCCCGTACTTTTTTCTGGCATATTGATTATTAGAGTAAAACTTTGATTGCTACGTGAATCACAGAACTCCGAAAAGACACTTATCTCTTTTATATTGGCAAAAGTACATTGGTAATCATAATGGATATGTAGTGCCGCTCCTACTCCATTGGTGGTTCAACTGAATCTGCCACCAATACTTTCTGCTATGCACTGAAACGAGCAGGCAGCGCTTGCAACAATAAGACAACGCACGAATGTTTTCCAGTAGTGCATTCAGTATGCACTCCTCCATCACACATCATACTGGGGAGGTGATAAATGTATTGGATGTTCAGCAGAGTACGCTAGTCGTTGTTCAGTGGCAGTGTCAACTAGTGAAGGCCATACAGAAACCTGTCAAGAAGGAAAGCTGACTACGTACTGCGCTTACCTTTCACCATCAACTATGTCTTCCAACATGCCAGATTACAACCACGATTCAACGTGATGCTTTGGATTCGGTTATTGCGAGAGTTCCCTACAGCATCTCGGAATGTCTAAGGTGTATACTAGGACATTTGACTTACATTTTCACTGATGAGGCCGTGTCGCATCACAGAGTAAATCTCGTACATCTTGTTCGCTGGTTCGATTGTCGTGTGTATCAGAACCAGAGTGAATCTTTCAAGGTATTCGACAATAAAACAACGATTGCCTACTTCAGTTAAACTAAGGTTCGATGACTCAGCGACTGTGACCCAGCAACTGTGAACAGACTGGTGATCGCTCGAGTCGGATGAGTCTATATCATTTCCCGGCCGGGTTTTCATTTTGGGCAACAGAAATAATTTGAGGGGGCAGTCAACATGAGTACTCAATTAATTTGTTCCCTGCGTAGAAGCTGAATCATCCCACCTGCACCCCTATGTCTTAGTGCGTCTGACGTTCAATTGGCTGAAGGGGACGTGCTATACACACACACCTACACGCCTGCACACATGACTGGTGTATGCACGGAACAAATTAATTGTGTAGACTCATGTTGAATGCCCCCTCAGATTATTTCTGTTGCCCAAGAGGACAACTTGGCCGGGAAATGGCATAGAAGCTGCCCACAACTTGGGTGGTATCAGTGATCGTATTTGCCAAGGTTTACTTCAAAGTATACCGTAATCCTAATTGAAGTTTTGTGCGGAAATCCATACACCTCGTAAGCATTCCAGAATCCAACCATGGTGATCATCACCGTCCAATCGGAATGCACTTGGGTTCTTAATGCAAACAGCTGCAACGAGAGCGAATTATTGGAACTCAGACAATCCAGTTGAAATTTATTGGCAATTTGAGGAGAGAAAATTCCAAGTGATGGATATCAGGAAGCATCACGACTCATCGCTGACACTGAAGGATTAAGCTCTTAGTAGATTTTTGAGCTAAATTGACCTAGATTTATATGAAATGGGAAAAGCGATGACAAGTGAGCAATTTGTCTTTCAGGTCCTCAACCTCTGGGGAATGGAGTTGGTAAGACTTCCGCATTTTTGTATTTACAATCGAGTTACTACGAAGCCAGCAAGTTTTATTTCCCGTGAAATCCAGGCGCACCCAAGGTTTGGAAATTAAGTCTTGCTTCTAGAACAGAGTTAAGTAACCAGTGATCTCTTTGAAGTGTTACTGGGATGGCGAATGTTACTGGTAGGGGAAGCTCGATGAGTAAACCTCGTGCACTGAGTCCAGATAGAGTCCGAGTACAAACTAGTGAGTCACTGATTGCAAATTTGCAGAATATTCACACTAATACGAATTTCGAAACGCAGAACGAGGTCAACTGCGAGTCAGGTCGAATCGTTGTGTCAGTAAAATGGCGGTGATGGGAAAGAGCCCCAGGTGAAACAACCGATTTCCACTTAACTAATGAGAACCACGACTTTTGTAAAAGAAGGATAACGTTGCCACACAGATAGTTACTTAGTGTTTGAATGGTGTTAATGCAAGCGCAAATAGATTTCGTAGTATTACAGAAAGTCATGCTGAGGATTACAAATGTAATATCCCACGACATGGTCGCTGAAATGTTCCCGATCTTGTTAGATTTCAGGACTGCGCTTGACAGTTGCCTTGTGCCTCTTTGACACGACTTAATGGCAACCTACAGAAGCATCGCCTTGCTGGTCACCAGCAACAGGCAAACACCGTGGTCGCCAGGCTCCTGAGGTTACGACCATTTACCGCAAAGTCCAGTACGAAGTCAGTGACATGGTTGAATCTCTTTTTCAGACCACCCATTGCGTTAGGTATAGAGCACTTCATTTCACCAAGTTACATCGTTTTATCATACTAATGCGGACAGTGAATAGAACAGGGAAGTGTGCATGGATTCACGCTCCTCAATGACAAATGTGCGAATGGATTGAATGCATAAAAGCGAAGACGCAATACTAACAGCAGCGGATCACTTGAAAGAGCATGTTGTAGATATGGGCTGACTCCCAATTTGTCAAGAAGCTGGGGTGGCAAATGTTCACATTGGTACGTAAAACATTAGCCTAATCTCTAACGACAACCGTGGAGCCACGATACATCGTACCTGCATTTTAGGCTTTTTAAGAATTGTGGCTCGCAAATATGTATTTCCAGTTTGTTTCTGGTGTACTATTGCTCATGATATCGTTTTGAATCCATTCAAATGCTCCCATTCTCCTAACTCATCCAGATGGAAATCAATCCATATCTTGAAAAGTGTAGACTCGGAAACTGTCAAATGAACCGGCTGGATGTCATTAGATGGTGATCTAGTCGCAGCTAGGTTCACGTTGGAAAACTGGGCGTCAAGTACCACTGACTGCATGGTGTTAAAATTTCAAACCAGCAATGAGTCTTGAGGAGGAGAATGGACGCAAAGTGCTTAATGGGCTTCTACTTGTTGGCTGGCTTACAATGAAGCTGTTTGAAAACTATCATCCCGTACTTTTTTCTGGCATATTGATTATTAGAGTAAAACTTTGATTGCTACGTGAATCACAGAACTCCGAAAAGACACTTATCTCTTTTATATTGGCAAAAGTACATTGGTAATCATAATGGATATGTAGTGCCGCTCCTACTCCATTGGTGGTTCAACTGAATCTGCCACCAATACTTTCTGCTATGCACTGAAACGAGCAGGCAGCGCTTGCAACAATAAGACAACGCACGAATGTTTTCCAGTAGTGCATTCAGTATGCACTCCTCCATCACACATCATACTGGGGAGGTGATAAATGTATTGGATGTTCAGCAGAGTACGCTAGTCGTTGTTCAGTGGCAGTGTCAACTAGTGAAGGCCATACAGAAACCTGTCAAGAAGGAAAGCTGACTACGTACTGCGCTTACCTTTCACCATCAACTATGTCTTCCAACATGCCAGATTACAACCACGATTCAACGTGATGCTTTGGATTCGGTTATTGCGAGAGTTCCCTACAGCATCTCGGAATGTCTAAGGTGTATACTAGGACATTTGACTTACATTTTCACTGATGAGGCCGTGTCGCATCACAGAGTAAATCTCGTACATCTTGTTCGCTGGTTCGATTGTCGTGTGTATCAGAACCAGAGTGAATCTTTCAAGGTATTCGACAATAAAACAACGATTGCCTACTTCAGTTAAACTAAGGTTCGATGACTCAGCGACTGTGACCCAGCAACTGTGAACAGACTGGTGATCGCTCGAGTC